ACAATTTTACTGACTTTGGTAAAAATTATACCTTAGACTGTTCCTTTATTTTTTTCCATACTCTAAGAATTACACTCATATATTGAGTGAAAAAGACATATATCTGTTATAGTAAATAAACTTGTCATAGCGAACAATTTACCATTCGCTTGGGGATACCACTTACCAACTAGTAGCTACCAACCACAGATAACTATAGACAAGTAGAACTACCTACGGTTAGTAAAACTGAACCACCGCACTTTTCACTCCTTGAGTACCGGGAACGGAAATAGCGCGAAATTTCAAATATTATTTCATAGTTGTCAATGTATATCATATTTGACATCTAGAATATTTAGTCTTTCCGTTTTACGCAGTTAACTGCCTCCGTGGCCGAACGGTTACCGTGCCGGACTGCCACGCAGAGGTCCCAGGTTCGATTCCCGGGCCAAGAGAACGTTTGTATGGCCTACATTTATTTCTCTCGTGAGTTTGAGTGTAATTTGTGGTTGTCTATATGTGTGTCCATGGCAGCCTCGACATAGAGTTTCCCTAGTGCGGGGCTATGTTGAGTGTGTGCGTTATTATTATTATTATATTTGATGTTAAACATCACAAAGTTTTTTGAGAGGAAAATAAGATAATCTTCAAACCAGTTTTATTCAAAGTTCCCAACTTGACGGAAATAATGATTCATTATCTCAACATAACTAACCATGCTATTGAGAGACTGAAGCCCGTACTAGGCAATTAGAACTGTATACAGCTCACTTATTCTGATAATTAAGATCATTGTTATTTTAATTATGTCTCAAAACGGTCGGCGGCGTTCTCGTTGCCTAATGCTTTTTAATACTAATTTCTAAAGTATAAGCTTCGAAGTCGTTGGAGTTTTACGGAAACACGAAAAGTAATATTATTGAGAAAACTTTAATCTAGGTTGAATTCAAATATTAACGTTATTTCACAGTTAAAGAAAACTTTTAATTGCAGTAATAAACTGGTGTACGAGGGAAATGTAACATAAAAAACATACATATATATATGTATAATTCCGTAAAACTTGAATACCTACTCGAAGCTTGAACTTTGAATTGAGTGAGAATGAATATCTTAGTAACTATTTTCTAAATATAAGTTACGAAGTTACATTCTATATTTAAATTATTCTTGAATGTGTAAAGAATATCCGTATTTACTGAATCTATTATAAAAACTTACCTTTATGTTTAGAGCGACTTTAAGTAGCGATGCAAACGCGATACAAACGCAATGCACGTTTTAATTTATTTATTTAAATTATTTATTAATTTCAATTTTAAATTTACAATTAACAAAACAAAATTTTTTGCATACACTTATACTTACAGATTTTTCGTACATTATATTATACAATTATTCAACACAAGCGAATGCATCGATGCAATCGCGCGTTTGCATCGATGCAATCGCGCGTTTGCATCGATGCAATCGCTTATAAATGGCATGTATAGCGATTCAATCGCACGTTTCACGGACACGCGTTTGCATCGCAATTAAAAGTCGCCATGTGTAACCACTCTTAGGTATAGGGTTAATATTTGAAGTGACATTTTACCGGATTAAAGATTTACAATAATCATTATATTCGCCTGTTTCGACTCGAATAACGGCGATTGTTTAATTTTCATTTCACTGCCGCCGCCGTGGCCGAACGGTTACCATGTTGGACCGCCACGCAGAGGTCCCAGGTTCGATTCCCAGGCCGGGAGAAATATTTGTATAGTCTACATTTATTTCCCTCATGAGTTTGGGTGTAATTTGTGGTTGTCTGTGTGTGTCCATGGCACCCGCGACACAGGGTTTCCCTAGTGCGGGGCTATGTTGAGTGTGTGCGTTATTATTATTATTATTTATTACAGGTTTACAGCCACACATGTACTCTCAGATGCAACTTCTACCTGGACAGGTCACAGAGGAAGAATAGGCAAGGATCTCCTCAATCAAGTCCTAGGTAAAGTCAATTGCGCTGATCAATGTTCACATTTCTTCTGTCTCTGTGGACCAACGGATTTCACCCACTCGGCACACTACTTGTTAGGAGAACACCAAGTTAGAGATAGCTGTCTACATGCATTTATGGGATAATTATATTTTGTAAAGAGAGGTCAATGTGCAATATATTTAGTATGTATATAAATCTCTTTAATGATGAATTAATAAGTAAATTATGGCGCGTTTACACTAGGTTGACAAGTCGTCTTCGCTGCCCCGCCTCGTGTAACCACAGAGTCGTTTGACGACGAGTCGTAGTTCGCTGCCAGAGTTGACCGAGTCGACTAGGTGTAATCAATCACTGTTAGTCTTCGGCAAGCGACTGTCGACGAAAACAAGTTTCAACGTATCGGCGGCCGCGTCCTACCACGATATGCGTGCTGGGAATAAGGAAACACCTACCTAACCAATCAGTTTGTTAAGTTTTCGAACGATATAATGTGGTGTTGGAGAATGATGCTCCGTATACCGTGGACCGCTAAGCACAAACCAATCCATAAGCAGCTTAATATCACAGATAGACTTTCCACGATATGCTACCAGAAAACCCTAAAGTGTTTTGGTCATATTGCTCGCCGACAACCAGACAACGTTGACTGGTTGTGATTGTTATGTAGAGGGAAAGAGACTCCGCGGTCGATCACCTAGCCGATGTAGTGACCGACCTTACTGGTCTCCCTATAACAACTGCCCTGAGAGAGGCCGAAGACAGAACCAGATGGAAGAAAATCATAATCGTAATGCGTACACTTATATTTATAATGATTTGGTAATTTGGGCAAAGGCGGCAGTCGACTTGATGTAAACAGCACGTCCACATCGCCGTCTTTGTCAGCCGAATGCTGCAATTGACTCGGTATAAACAGCGAGTCAACTGCGTGTCCTTTGGCTAGGAAGTTTTTTTAATAAAAAAAAACTAAGTGCGCATTTGACCTCCATCTTAGATAGTGACGATGGGGTCGACAATGGATGCATGCTTCATTTAAAGAATTCACTCTCGCCTCGAATAGGCCCAAGTTATAGCGTTCAGAAAATAAGTCTGCCGGCAGGAGGCAGGGAGCACTTCGTGCGAATCCTTGGGATATTCAACACGGTAGTCTTCCGAAGGCGGCTACCGACCCTGTGTAAACACGCCATTAGAGACTAATGCAAAATGGATTGCGATTAGATATAGCACGTGTATTTCGATATTGGTGCATTCTTTACGCTATTGCGTTGTGACTAGAGACAGTCGTTTAGTGCGACTTATTAAGCATGAACGGAATCTGTTTGGTCACGGACATTTTGTCCCTCGCCTTCCTAAGTTTCATATTCGACATATACATACGTGTGCGCTGGCTTAAGTTTCACGATAATCTTGCTTTTTATCACGTATACTTTTATTGTATATGAATTTAACTCAGAAAAAAAAATGTCCACTCTATAACGACGTTTAAAGGAAGACGAAATAAAGACGATTGTGCTAATGCAAGAAACAACTTTTACTAAGGAATCCCTCAGTCAAATCACAAAATAAAGTCCGTGACCAAAGAAACGCCGTAAGTAAAGAAGTAATTATGTAATTTTCGTTTCAACTCCGCGGTTTTAAACAAACAATTTTCATTAAAACTCACTGTATATTTTCTTTTTCATGTTCATTAATTCAATAGTAATAATTTTAACAAACTACTCCAAGACACCTACCTACCTGCAGGGTTATCACGATATGCGCGCTTTGGCGACATAAAGCTCGAGATCTCGACGGGCACGTTCCATTATGTTGTAACGTTGTATTAATTGTTGGACAACTGTCGCGTCTAGCCTGTTCCCATATCACGAGTATTATGTATGTCGTAACTGAGTCGTGGACATTTATGTTATCGTTGAACGACTATCGTGTCTAGCAATTCCCGCTAGATCGTGACGACAATTTTTCGGTTCCCGGCAGCCGCCTTGTCGTTTGCACGACAGAATCGTTTGAAGCTGCGATTATCTGTCGTCACATTTTTATCGTGACGTTTTATTTATCGTCTGACGACTGCCGTTATAGCTCTTCCCATTGTCACGTAAGTCTGTCGTCGTAACGTCAAAAAAGTCGTGAACGACAGTTAATCGCGTTGTTCTATGTGTGAACAACTTCATTTAAATATACAAGACACGACACTTTAAACTACACGACTATCTCTCGTCACGACATAATGGGAACGCGCCCTAAGGGAGAATTGTATCTCGCGCTTTATGTCGCTCTCGCGCAATTCGTGCCAACCCTACTACTCTTATTAAGTAAGCAATCATTAACGTTGCAATATTTAGAAATAAAATAGACGAAGACCACTTTATCGCTCCTTACATGGAGTATATATTTGTAGAAAAAAGTACTATAAAAACGTCAAATCTTGTTTACTTACTCGCATTCATTCCATGATAATGTAAATTTTAGGTATGTAATTAATTGAAAATAAATTCAAGAAGTATACCTTGTTAGTGCATTCTAAGAGTGAGAAACTAATATAATACCTACCGCATAATTAAGACATAAATATAAAATTTATAAAATGTGAAAGTTTCTATTAAAATAATATAATATGTATGTTTCTTATATAAATGGCCAAAAAATGTGCACCCAAACATTGTATAGAATTTAAAATATAGTAATTTCTACTTTCAATTAGGTAATAACCAAAGTGTGATATATAATTAGTGTTAAAATGTGTGTGCAGGACAAAGCGGAACATTCGCTCTCCTACACATTGACCGTAAGAAAGTGATAAATTCATGCGAAAGTGTAGATAGATAGCATCTTTTTACAATCATTCCATAGAAAATGTAAAATTCCAAATTTTTTAATAAAAGCTATTGTTTATCTGTTGGTCAACGTGTAAGAAACCGAATGCATCGCCTAACATTGTGATCGTTCATTTCAAACTTTTCATTCGTATTCAATGAAATGGGGAGGTGCTATGGCAGCGTACTCACTACGACCTGTAAGGACTCGTTCCCACAGCGCCCAGTTCTGCAAAACCGCCTTTTACTGGATCCCGCAAATCGGACTGGTGTCTGCACACACAGTAGGTAATTTGCGTCCTGATTTTTGCAGGATCTCAATATTCGTCAATTGATCAGATTCAGACGCGACAGACGTGAACACTTTTGTGACATTGTATTGGTATTACCGCCCATCCAATTGTGAAATGTTGATTGAAAGTAGGTATCTTTCATCTGATTTCTTAATCGTGCAGGCCGCTGGTGTGAACACTTTCACTGAACTATATGTGTCATTAAACGGGATCCTGTTTTGTCTTGGTCTGCGGGATCCAGTTTGTAGTGTCAAAACCGAATAGTAAAACTCGACAGGATCGGTTTTTTGCATGATCCTGTAAACGGGATGTTTGTGTGAATGTTGGTGCCTATTGAAACAATATACAACCTATATTATATAAAGATAGAGCAATAAACTGGCTCCTGCAAACAATCGATCCAGCAAAAAAACAGGATGCTGTCGTGGGAACAGGCCGTCAGATCTATTGATGGTACCTCATGCAACCCTAGTTCAAATATAAATAAGACCCATCTAGTCTGAGCTGTTGACAGTCTCAGTGTAGACTTCAATTGCCTCGATCGTAGCTCAATTGTTCCAAAAGACGGTTTTAATATTTTAAAATTAATTATGGGCAATGTATTTTCACACGAAATTAACACATTGACAAATTAATTTGTCAGTATGTTCCTGTACATAGAACGCCAAATTTGACACTGAAGATTTAAATTTAACGCCATACCACAGCCATACCGTTCAAAATTCAAAGGTTCAAAGTGTCAAATTTGATTTGATCTTTACTGTACGTTTCTTTAGACTTATTTTGTATGTATATAAAAAAGTAAACAAAAATGCGCCACTTTAAATACAACATATCAAGTACATAATGTATATTTTTAATAAATAGAATTTTAACTAGCAAAACAAAATATTAGTTGTGTAGATGCAGTATTCGTGCCATGAACTTTAGAGCCAAATCATGTTATAAAAGTGTTTTGTAAATTAACTGTTGATTATTTTTGTGAATTTTGTAAACAAATTAAGACGATCTAAGTGAAATTGTAGTGTCATCAAATTTCTCCATTAATTAAGATGTAGGTAAGTATATTTCTGGTTCGAGATTATTTGTGCTTTTGTTAGTAATTGTAAGCACACAAGAACAACAAACCAAAAATAATGTAGGAGGGGTGCAAAAGTGACTTCTATTTACGTTTTCAGCGTTGTATGTTAACATGTAATATTACTCAAAGTACAACCACATAAGCTTCATACGTGCTTTGTGTTTTTTATTTTAAAATATACTTAAAATTATACAAGAAGTGCCTACATTCCAGGTGATGTGTTTCTGTTATCGCTAATCGATGTATTGTTGATTTATGGATTTTTAATAAATAGAGTATATGAAATTTACATTTTTATTTTTTTTATTAATCCCAATCCAATTATAGCGAAAGGCGAGTTACAGTTTTCATTTGGTTACAAATGGATTTAATTATTTTTTTTTATAAGAAAATAAAAGTGCGACAGCGTATTTGCCTCATTTCGTATTTTTCGACACACGATACTATGACAATATGTTACATAGACATGATTTTACTTACACTATGCTACTTCAACAACACAGACGAGATGCTCCTTAAAAAGTCTTTACACTCCGATAACAATGATCATCATTATAAACCCATGTAGGAAATGGTTTCGATCAATATAACAAACTCATATAATCGACTTTTTTCAATCAATTATAGTGTTTTTTTTAAATGGGGAAATCTGAAACCATAGAAGATACAAAGAAATTGTCTTAAGAACCATTAAGTCTTTGTGAAAATGATTTGGGCATAGTCAATTTTTTGGTCAAGCGTGAATTGCCCCTGAAAATGAATAAAATTGATAAAAAATTTTTTAGTATCATATCTTATAGGCTTGTCTAGCAAGTGTGAGGTCGTAAAAATTAAATTATAAAATTTTTCTGTGTGTTTCATTTTAATATATGGTTTACAAAATCTGGTGGAACTGTGTGTTCTTGTATAATTCTCTGTTATCCATTTATGGACTACAATTGTCTGGAAATGAATGATTTGATTGATTTATTACCGTGGCAAGTCCCCTGTTGCTACACACCTTGATTCAACTTTTTTTTTAATCTAAATTTAAGGAGCTTTACCGTGTATCTGAATGGTAATGTCGCTCCGTAATGCTACTATCTAATCTAAATTAAGACTATCTAAAAATATTTTGTACAGTATCTTCGACGAAGGAACGGCCAGTATACTGTTACACCATCCAGTCTGTCCAGTCTGTTAACCACACTGCCCAACAGTCTCCAGAGTCTCTCGGTTCGAACACATTCCATGAAAACGTGGTAAATGTCTTCAATGACACCGCAATTGCTACGCAATACGATGCAACTTTTCTTTGTTACAAAATACAACGGGGTTCACCCGCAGCGACACACACTGCATGCAATAGGTCGTGACCATGGACTTGCTGCGCTGTAGATGGGCATTATTATAAGATTCTAGCTTTACGATAACAAAAGCATATCAAGTTATCCCCTACAGGTCACAACACAAACAAACAACAAAAACAAAAGACTACGTATTACGGAAAGAACATTATTATTTTTACAACAAAACAAAAATTATAATACAGACCATCCTCGGATTCATGCACGTATCTATAAAGGTTCTTCGCATCACACCTTTGGCGTACATTACATTGTACAAACTCATCATAGTAGGTAGCAACGTGCCTCAAAAAAAAGCAAACAAAATTCACTGAAACAAGGTGTACATGCCACACGCCACTGCAAAATTAACTTTGTAATAGTCCCCCACGCATTCAGCGACACTAATTAGTACAGATTAGCGATACTTTGTACGTGCGTTGAGTTTTGTATTTGAACTATGAACGTGTTAACAAGTTTTTTTTTAACAATTTAATAAATTTATATACAAATATCAATTGGAATGTATTCTTCCATTATGTTACCAATGTACAGAGAAATTAAAGGGCAGTTCAAAGTAACGCTTTCGCACGATGTAAATAAATTATAGGTTAACACGATAGGGCGCGCCTTGCGCGAGAGCGACATAAAAAGCGGTATACTCTATGCGAGAATAGCAGTATCTCGTGTTTTGTCGATCTCACGCAAGTAGCACCCCGTCGTGCTAGCTATACTAGCGCGACTTAGGTAAAAGTGGCTTATAAACCGTAAGATGCGTCCACCCTGTGTAGATACACAGGATCCTTACTAGATAGTAAGGATTACTTTACTTGCTTGCTCTGCTACGTGGATAGATAGATAGGAATCGACGCATTGATATGTTGTAAAATATGCCGCTAGATGGCACTTGTTTCAATTAACTAACCGTACTCCAATCCAATATGAAAAAAAAGTACGCTAAGAGCCTATGCACACGGCGTATTTTATACGCACTGACGACGCGCGTTTATGGCGCCGCAGACGCGCAATAGTGAATGGATTCAAACGCGCGCAAACATCGCGTTGCAAGCAAGAAGCTTATATACTCCATTGGAGATTACACTTACAACTTCATGTAGTTGCTTCATTTCAAAAATTAAAATATAAAATACGCCGCAGCTTATTTCTTTCAAATTATAATTGGTTGCTTCTTTTTGGAATTTAAAGTTATAATTTAAGCTATATATCACCTCCAGTGTCTACCCACTGTTTTCGCTTCTTGTTATTATTGGGTTCAGGGATAATAAATATGACTGACTTGTAGTCCCACGAAATTAGATGCCATGTTAAAATATACAGATCAAAATCGAAAATTCTATACGGCGGATCCATCGACTTCTATAAGGTAACATGAACAAATATTTGCAGTGACGTAGTTAGTAACCAATGCTCCCTTTAAACATTGCAATCACAACTTATAAAAGAATAACTACACACTGTTTATTATAAATGAAAAACTAAAATTATTTTTATTCAAGTTGGTCTGATTTCAAGATTATACTTTAT